AGTGACTAGTATTTTGTAAAATACAGTCACATTTCAATTATTATATATTATATATGTATATATATATTATTACTATTTATAAACAAGTTCTTAAACTTATTTTTCTTAAAACACAGTAAACAAAGAAATAAAGCACACAATTATTTCTTCTAGTTACAACCTTTGTACTTGGTTGCTGCTTGTCATAGCTTGCTAAGCCTTAAGAAATTTTGCACGTGGAGGATGTGAAACGAAATAGTTTATTTTAGGTTTTTTATATACATTCGAATAACTAAAAAATCACAAATTACTATATCAATACCATAGCATTACATTATGATTTATCAAGTTTAATAATTAAGCTATATTTGAGTCTAAAAAAAATTTTAAATTTTGAACAGGCTAAAACTCAACTTACCAGCATGAAGGTTTGTCTTAAAAAAAAATAATGCTGTTATATTTGAAAATGGCTGAGAAAGCCACTAGGGGGGGGGCATTCTGAGCTTTCAATTGGTTATTAACATGTCATATATAGAAGTAAGTGTATGCAAGGGACCATTTTAAAAAAATGGAAAGAGGTGAGAGGGCCACTGTGTTTGATTCAGTACATTAGCGATATCTCAGCAAATAGAAAATATAAAAAGTACTTATTTTATATTCTAGCTTGTCAATATCGATAATTTGAGTTTCTAATTTGTACAAAACTATAAACTTTGTATTTTGGCATCACATCTAATTTGAACCAGTGCTGCATTCAACATACCATAAAAAATCGATGTTTAGGTGTTTTTTAATATTTACTTTTAAATTAAGAAATTAAATAATGTATAATATGAAAATTTGAATTATAATCTACAGCTTGATACCAAACTTAATGACATAAATTCATAAAATAATAGTTCAATAAAATTTGAATGCAAGTCCAAAAACACAATGACATGGCCCTTGACCCATGTGGAAAGGGTTAACTTAACAGCTTTTTCATTATCTTAAAGGATACACTTCAGTCTTATATTTAGAAGAAAAGTTTTCAATATGATAAAAAAGTAATACAGAATGCTTTATGTAAAAAACTCCCACAAAATAAGAAATGTAGGTAATTAATATTGTGAAAAATACAAAAATACATGCACTACACATAACTACCAACTTAAAAATACCAAGTCTGAAAACTTTAAAAAAAAGAACACATTAGTTTGAAATAAAAATGCTACTCATCAATGATGAGCACAAAAATGTTTGATGAATACCAGTACACTTCATACTTGTTGCAATGATGAGTAAGCAGTCATGTTTACAAAAAAACTTTACACCACTACTACCACATGATAAAAAAAAGATGCGAAAAAATTTGACTAATTTATTCACAGTTCATTTCCTACACTACACTGATTTGGAACACTTACGTCTAAAAATGGTGCATCCTGTATGTAGTCAAATTGCTGCTTAAAAAACCTCAGTATCAATTACTTTATTGAATAAATTTTCACTACACTTATTTTGTTGTATTTACAAAATAGAAAATACATTATAAGTCTAGATTTACAACTTCAGGTCATATTATTTTGTTATACAATGTGATCAGTAACCACTTTCTTCACAACATATTAGGAATGTTTACTTTTCAAATGAAAATCTACGTACTGTTATTATAGTAAAATCTAGATATGATATATTCTGTAATACACAGATTAATGTATTTATGCTATTTGATGACTAGAGCAGGAAGGCAGGACAATCTACTGCCCTGCAATAGTAATTGTTTTTGAATAATTTTCTTATTGTGCTCATAATGTATTAGAAAGAGCATATAAAAGTCAGATATTTTTAGTAAAGTAGAAAGTTTTGCATACATAGTATGATTTAATAAATTTTGTAATAAAGTTATGTAATATTCCAGTTTTATTGTATTGTTAAAAGTACTGCTACAGCAGAATGAATCTATAAAATATTTAATGAATTAATATAGTATTTCATAATAAAAACGATACTAACACAACAAGCACATATACAGATTTAACTTTTAGTGCACAAGTTATAATGTATTACATTGCTTGATTTATTAGACACATGAGCATTCACTAATATTTGCTCACATGTGTTGAGAAATAGAACTAACATAAGTATACTTAACATTAGTGACACTGCTATAGTTATATCAAGATGAGAACACATATTAGTTCTTATTTTCAACTTTAAAAATGGCACAGTAATGAAATGAATAATAAACTGATCAACAAAGTAACGAAACTAAACCTAGTTATCCAGTATACGCAATATATTTCGTATTTCACTCTACATCATCACTATGATAAAGAATACCCAAGTGCTAAATCTACATGTAGTTGGAAAGTTAAATCCTCTTATGTAAAGAAAGAAGGATGTGTCTGTAAAAGAAAGTATACATTAAGAAAATAATTCGTATTTACTAAGAGTACATATATATATATAAAAGTCTTAAACAAATTTTAGTTTAACAAGTGATATTCTTTTAGTACTGGTCAGCAAACGTTTTGAATCCTAAATACATTTAATTTTGCTGAAAAGAATTAGGAAATAAAATGTAAATATTTTATACATACTCTTGAATAAAATGTAATAAAAATAATTTTCCAATCCAAATTATCCTAGAAATAAAGTTGCTAAGGATTAAACCAGAATAATATTTTTAACCCATTCACTGCAGTGCACTGGGAAATATGTGTCCCAGTTGCCATGAATGAGTTAACTGACATACTTTCTGTGACATAATTGTTTCTACTTTAATTACAACATGTCTATCATACGTTCATTTTATAAATTAATCATACTGAGTTACCTTAACTTTCTCTCCATCTACTTGTACTGTCTTTATAAGAAAATCAACACCAATCGTAGCCCCTTGTCCTGGTGGAAAAAGACCCTAAAGCACAATCAAATTAATAAGTGAAAAATTAATCAAAGAAACCTGTATACATTATTTAATTTCTGGCAAATTTGATTACAGTAAATAACATGGTTCTAAAACTTTTATTTGATAATTGCTTTCATACATGCTTTTTTTAATGAAAAATATTAAAGAGTATTACAAACATGTAAAGGTGTCCTTTTCAAGATGCAAAAATGTGGAATAACTTCAAACTTATAAAAGACTATAAAACCAGACACTATGCTATATCACACAGGACCAGTGCATTAAACTGTATAGAATCATTATAAGATATACAATCTACCTCTAACAATACAAAGGAATCATATCTCGTCTTGCAGAAAAACAGAGCCAGAAGCTTACTGTCATAATAGTAGTGCAAACTAATAACAGTACACATAAAAAAGGGCATAATTTCATATTAAATAACACATAGAAAATTAATGATGCTTCACATATACTAGGTACAAACAATGTTTTTTGATCACTACATAATAGTAAGTTGTTAGTGAAGAGAAATTGCTATTTTTATATGCTGATATCAAAAGCCTGATACATAACTAATAGTTACAATTCATTTCCTTAATGTGGCTCACACAGTAACAGTTGTTGAAAAGCTGGGCAACTTAAGTGATATAAATGATTACCCATGAGCAGCACTTACACTAATTGGCATTTCCAAATTACAATTAATCAATTAATCCTCTTTCTTAGATACATGCATGCTTATACAATATTAAGATTAGTTATTAACTCCTTAAAAGAATAGAGTGGAGGGGATCTGGACCCCATGGGTCTTCCCCTTGATCCCCACTTCCTTATACAACATTAAAGAATACAGCTCTGTAATTATAAGTTAGAAACATAACACAATTAAAGAAAACAGTAAATTTTCAGAATTATTGGTGGGTGCTGGGACTAAACCCAAGACCCTAAAACATAAACCTCCCCCTCCTCCAAACAATACAATAGTCTCTAGGGTGGTAAAATCCCTCCACCCATTTGTTTTGTAAATTAATAACTGTATTATTCAATGTTGTATAAGCAGGTACAGATCTAGGGAGGTCCACCCACCCAACCCCCTCTATGTTTTTCTGAAACTAACAAAAAAAACACCAAGAGATTCTTATACTACTATACAGAATCAAAAAGAAAGAGTATATTCAGTGATCTTATTTGATTGGACTCTTAAATACCATAAAAGCTTTTTTTGTGGTTTTCTAAAATCAACACAGCTTGAGTCTGCAGCAATCCAGCAAGGCCTCAGCTAGTAACTGATTATTTATACGCAAGTACAACAATATGAATGTCAATTAAGCATTGCCATTGTTACTTTTCTTGTCTTGGCTTTTTTCAGAAACTACCATTGAGCCTCGATTTTAGATTTGTTTTCATAATAGTTAATATTGTTTAGGATACTTGCAGCTCTTATAAACTTGTTACAGAATTGATTTTTCAAATTTAGAAGTTAGAAATCTCATGAGAAAGATATTTGTTTTGGTGATGTCTCAAAGAAGTGAAAAAAATTGGTATCCTGTTTACCACTGCTATAATTCTATTCTCTAAATATGATTATAAATAATTATATAACTATTTAATTTTAATTGAAGAATTAAAATATTTGTTTTGCACTCTTTTATTTATTTTCATATTTAGTTCTTTGTTTAAAATTATGGTGCTTTCATTTTTTAGCAGATATACTTTGGTTTATATTGAGTTGCAATATTTGTAAACCTGAGATTTATTTTACTTGGTGAGTACAATATCAATTCAGATAACTTTAGTTAACTGTTTAATGAGTATGGTAGGTGACTGCAAAACATTCTGGTGATTCAAATTGTCAAGTTTTGTATGTATGGATGAACAGGATTCTTTATAGTAGGTGTCTGTGACTTGTTGGCAAAAAATTTCAACAAACAGTGCACAGTCCACTTTTTTTTAAAAACAATATATTAAAACAAGTCAAACATATATACAAATGTTTGTTACACAGTTGTATCCAGAGCTTTAAATAATCATCTCCATTCATCAAAGTCCACATAGGCTGTTCAGTTACTTTAGAACACAATTGACAAGACAAATTATTCTTCTCTGCTCTGTTATTACAATGCAATCGGTGATAATTCCACTTGCATTACACCGTTAGTTACCACAGTTGTATCCAGAGCTTTAAATAGTTGTCTCTTTTCATCAAAAGTTCTCAGAGATTTTTTCAGTTACTTTAGAACACAAACAAGACAAATTATCATTCTCTACTTTGTGGTTACAATACAATCTGTGATGATTTCACTTAAAAAAAAAGAGCCACTATACACTCTTTATGGCTAAACTTACAATCACACAGTGTAGATCTATCTATCTATCTATATCAAATTAATGTTTTGACATCAGTCTTGACCGTTCCACACACTACTAGATATATGATGCAACAATATATACTTAAAGCAATGAGAAAATTCAGAGGGTTCGAGTAACATGACATCAGTTCACAACAATTGAACTACACAATAAATGATTTGTGAACAGTTATATAAACAAACTTATGATTAAATATTACTTCTAAAAATAACTAAATTTAACATTCGAGCTATGTAAAAACTTAAATCATAACATTCACGTAAAAATTCAAATGAAAAAGCTATATATATATATATATGTTTTTTGGAAAAATATTAAAACAATAATAAATGTAGTTGTTGAAAAGCTACAAAGTTAGCACACACAATTTTTTTTATTGTATTGAGGAGAGCTGTGAACAGCATGTAATAATCAATTATCAAGCTTGTTGATTAATTAATTAGCAAATACTATAATGCAAAGCTCTAGTTGTTTGTGAAAATTGATGATATATAAAGAACTTAGACCACTGCTATGTTTATCACATCCCAGTTGGCCTGGTATTCAGTGACAAGCCTCACCAGCAATGAATATAGCAGATGTAGTATGGTTGACATATTATAACACATTCTCCTTTGTTTTCACTCATGAGTTCTTGGAATAAATAATACATTATAAATTACTGCAATCATACTCTTAATGAGGCCCAACTTCAAACACTAATGAAAACTAACATAGGAATTAGTAAGACCAGTCTCTTAAGCCATCCAAGCAGTGTTTTGTTGCTAGTGGTAGGGCAAATATGAATTTAGGTTATATCTGCAGAAATATTGAAAACATGTCTAGAGAGGTTATAATTTTATTTTATATGTCACTGATTAGGCCACATTTCGAGTATTGTGTTCAGTCTTAGGCTTCTTATCTTAGGAAGGACATTGAATTGTTGGAAAGAATTCAGAGGAGGGATACTAGGATGAAACATGGGATGGAAAGGATGATATATGAGGACATGTTAAGGTCTCTGCATTTATTTTCTCTTGATAAAAGAAAAATTAGAGGGGGATCTGATTTCAGGTATTTAAAATGCATCATCTTTTTTCACACTTAATGGTGAGAATGGTAGGACTAGTGGGCACCTGAGACAGTTTTATTTTTCCAACATGGTTGTTAACCTTTGGAATGGGTTGCCTACATGTGTAGCGAGTTTAAGAAAGTATATGAGAAGGTTTGATAAATACTGGAATGAAAAGGGCTGGCATTATACTTTCTTAAGTTTAATTTAGTGGATGATATGGCCTGGATGGACTAACAGGTCCTTTGTTGTCCTTAAATTTTATATGTTATGTGTGTGTGTGTGTGTGTGTCAGAAATGAATGTCAAACAATGCTAAGATAAATCTCTGATTAGCATGATGGAGTGCAAGCTTTTAATAAGAAAAAATTACTGTACCAATACATTTTCATGAAGAACAATTATGTTTAATTGATACAGCACATTAATGAAAGTTTGTAAAATATTGAAAAGGTACATATAATTAAAGTTGTCACAACATGATTAATTCCTTATGATACTATGCAATATACTTGCAATTATTATTGGCAAAAATATTCTGAAACTAAATACTTAAAACTTACCTGTGTGAAACGACGCACTAAACAGGTCTTTCCTACTCCAGCATTTCCTATCAATACTACTTTAAAGAGAAATTTATAATCTTCCATATCTGAAAAAAAAAGAGAGCAAAAAATGTTATTTGTCAGCATCCAAAAATAATTGAAGATGGCATTAACAGAGTAAAAGAGCTAAAGAAATACACAGTTTGTTACAGTATATACAACTCCAACATGGATGTACAAAACAAACAACAATTTAGCATAAGAGCATATTTAGAAAAAATAACAAAGAATTTAACCATTAAATAAAATTGTTGCACATGTTGGTTTGTGCTCAAAAGCTATATATCACTTACTCTTGGTTTCACATGTAACTTGGCTAGTTGGTGGAATCTTATATGATTATTTTATCTTATTAAAGTAGGATGAATTTGTAATATTACAATCTTTCAGGCAGCAAAATAGAAAAAATATCCACAAAAATGGTACTGTGTGCATTTCCTTCAATACTCTAGACAATGTTTGCTTTTGAAACATTAATCAAGTCCTTCTAATCTCTTCTTTTATAATGCTGCAAGTTCATATTACCAAAAATATGCTTCTAACTATAATAAAAAAAGGTGCTTTAAAACATGTTTGTAACATCAACATTAAAAAGCTTTGATATGATCATAGATATGTCTTTATAAATTTAGCAATTACTAATTATCAATGCAGCATATGGTTTATCATACAATACTTTCATTGTAAGCAAGTTTACAGGAAATATACTATCACCATATTTTATTGAATCACATTTTATACTTAGACTGTAAGAAGTCTGATATTACATTTCTTATACAGCTAATTAACCTCTCCATATGACAAGTTTGTTTTTCTTATGTGTATACAAGTGTCTTACCTCTTTTTACAGCACAATAATAAAAAAAAATTCACACACCCACATGAGGGAGTTGAAGACAGATATCCAACACTTACTCTTGTTTGTAAAAGTGTGGTTTTGGTTAAGGCAAAGTTAACAACAGTTGTATGTGAATTATTTTGCTTTAAATATGTAATCTTTAATCATAAGTACAGTGTAATAACATGACCAGCAGGAAGCAGTTGTGTCATGGCAATACAAAATATGAAAATATTCACATGTACAGTGTATGTCATGATGTGATTTGGCAAATAAACTTGTTTTAAGTATGTAATCTACAACCATAAGAAATTTGGAGTTATAACATGACCAGTTTCATGGTAATATAAAATATTAAAATATACACATGTACAATGTATGTCATAGTTGTGATTTGGCAAGTAAACTTGATTCAGATTTTCAACAATTAAGTTTAATTTGCACTTGGAGAAATATGAATGACAGAGTTAAACTAGATGTATCATAATAAATAAAATCCAAAGAGACTAGTTGTAGTGATTAAAAATGTATGAATAAGAAGTTTATCAGTTTATTTAACTTGTTTTTTTTTATTTTAAAATAATTTACATAGAGTGTGGTTTTAAAAGAACAAGAATATAAATTAATTTTGTCATATTAAATTATCCATAATTCAGCCTTAGTATAAGTTAATATATTTTTGTTATAATTCAAGGTTACAGCACTTAATGCAGTTTTGAAGTTACAAATGTCACCAGACACTTCTCACTTTTGCCAACCAATTGCATTGTCTGACCAAATACATTCATATATACTTTTGCAAAAGAAACATGTAATAACATGGATATGGCTTCAAGTGTTGCATGAGAGCCTTCCTTGCTTGGAATTCCTGTCTATATAAGCAAAAGTGAAATATAAATAATATTAAAAAAAAAGGGAGTTAAGATTAAGAACAAAGTTTAGATTAAAAATACTACACTACATATATGTATGTATATATATATATATATTAAAGCTGGGCAATTGACATGGCATAATCAATTACATTATCAATTAGTGTCATATAACATCATCAATTAATGTCATGAAAATATTATTTTAGTGTTTCTGATTGTTACTATTATTTTCAATTATTTGTACTATCCACTAATCAAAATTACAATTTATGTCACGACAATAATAAACTAATCAAAATTAGTGTTCTTATTACTACATTTTTTTAATTATTCCAACTATCCAGTAATCAAAATATTGTCATGATTATTCATTACTTTTGATTAAGTCATGTTTCTTTATTTTAATTAATCGATTAGTGTCATTACTCAAGAATTAATCAATTAATTCAAATCAGTGTTTCAAATTATTACAACTATTCAAGTTATCAAAATACTGCTATTATGTTTGTTTATTAAACACAATGGGCTATCAGTTCTTTACCCACAACAGTTATCTAAACGCAATTTTTAGTGGTTTTTTTTTAGATATGTCATAACTATCTTATGAGAATACTTTATAAGTTGAATGTAATCGATCAATTAGCAGATTTCACTAATCGCCCATCCCCAATATATATATATATTTCTGCACATTTCCCATTATATATGGATGGACATTACTACAATATATGTAACTCAATATGTAGGAAGATCCACTGCTCTAAATAACATTTCTCAGACCTTTAAACACCCATACTTGGGAAAGTAAAAGATTTAAATTAACCCTGTACCTTCCAGGTATTCATTGACTCATCTCTTAAACTATTGTAAAGTGTTGGCCTCCGTGAAACCTGTTTTTTAAGCTATGTCATTAGAGAATAATCAATTACTTGAATGTAATCAATTAATGACTCCTATGATTAATCAATTAGCAAATTCCACTGCTTGCACAGCTCTAACATGCACACACTCATATACATGTATAATTATATCCTTCTGCCATTTTCCCATTATATGTGGATTGATATTAGAATGATATATGTCACTCAATATGGAGAATCATCCACCGTTTTATAGAACACTGCTCAAAGACTTTTAAACACCAACCTTTAGGAAAAGTAAAAAATGAAACCCACTCTATACCTTTTAGGAAATAACTGATTTGTCTCTTACACCTCTGTAAAGTGCTGGTCTCCACCATTTTCAATTACCTTGTTATGAAATTAAACTTTTCCTAACTGGAGCCTAGCTAGCCTTTTCCAAGTCTTAAACTTGGGTCCTCTCATTCTATTATCTTCAGAATATAGTCCAAATAAATCAGATGCCTTAATCCTGTTAAATTCCCAAATAACCTTATAAACTTTAATAAGGACATCTCTTTTGCTTCTTTTCTCAAGAAAAAATAAGTTGAGAGACCTTAAACTATTCCTGTAAGATAATTCTTCCAGCCTAATAACCCTCATCTGAACACTTTCCAGTAAGTTAAGTTTAGTTAGATAAAGAAACCAACAACTATACACAGTACTCCAAGAGAGGACTAATTCATGATTTGTATGGAAGGATAATTACCTTTTGTCTTGTAATCAATGTCTATAAATACTCCCTAAACTTTTATTAGCACTGTTTTGATGGCTTGAGTGACTAATCTACCACTATGCCAAGATCCTTTCCTTCAATCTCACTGTTAAGTTGGTTCCAATTTATATGTATATAAGCTAAAATAATAAAAAGAAATATAAATTTCAAATTATTTATTATAATGTACAGACAGTAGAGGACTATTTGGTCTTTTGAGGCTGTTTTTATACCCCCAACCCCGAGGAAAGTAGGATAAACATTAGAAAGTTCAATCTGAAAGGAGAAAAAGCTCAGAACTGTGTTCTGTTTAACTTTTAAAGCTTGTGGATTTTTGTACTTCCATATGCTGTAAATGTTGACACTACACTATAAATCTTATTATAGCTGTTTTTGTTGACACAGCCTCTACAAAACTGGATCAAGAACTCTTAATTTTATTCCTTAGGTACTTTTCTACATCTTGGTTTATTGAACCAGTTGAAACAAAGAATTATTTGCATATAAAATAACTTTTGTTGCAAAGAACCTACCTACAGACAATGTACCTAGTTATAACATTAAAGGTATATTTATAGCAGAAAAAATAATTTATGAGTGTTGTATTTAATTATGTTAAGGACTGAGAAATTATGTAACTTATTAATATGTGTTATGACAAAAAAGTGTTATGTTTGATGCACTAAATGTTTTATAAATGGAAATCATCATCATAAATACTAATGATGTTAGATTGCTGCCAAAAAGTAGAGTTGTAGAACTAAAACTACAACTCCTATTACACTATCTCATATATGATTATGAGTCACAGTAGCTAGGTGTTACTCTATGAGGTACTAAAAGTAGTGCTATGTACTATTAGTATTACTAATACTATTATTATTATTAACACTATAGTAGTAGTAGTACTAGTATTACCATTATTTAGTAATATAAGTGATTTTCAATTACTATTTCTACTTTACTTTTTACGTGAAACTAAATAGTTTTCTTGCAGAGATAACATGTTTTGGATTGGTCTTTCTATTCTAAGTAAATTTCCCATACTTACTTGTTTTTTAAAAGTATATAATTTGTTTACAACTAGGCTAGTAGTAGTAATATAGTACAACTATTAGTATTAGTACTATAAAGTATAAATAGTATAATAATAATATTAATAGTATTACTATTAGCTGTATAAACCAAATCCAGATTTTCCCATATGAAATTTAAAAAAAGCAAAGTCAGCTTACAAGTTAAAAGCAGTTACCTTAGGATGATTCAATACATATGCAGAATAAGATTAAACTGATATTAACATACTTAATTTAACTAAAGGTCCTTTTTTTTCTGAACAAGCAACCGACCACTTAAAAATAATATTCTATAAATATAAGTAAAACAGCCATGTTAGAAAGAAGATAACACTTTGTCTCGCAGAATTCTCGTATCATCTCGCTAATAAATAGCTCTAAAATCAGGAGTAACAGTACTTGGAACCATTTTGTGTCTCAAACGATTAATCAATTATATATAAATTGGAATTTGTTTGCTAAACATTCTCCATAAAAAAAGGAAATAACCCTAATGTAAATTATTAGAGCTGCTATTTACCTTTATGTTCAATGAAGTATTTTAATACTTTGTTACTGCTGAAGAATAATAATCAACTATCCGAAAACGTTCGAGTGACTGGGTCTTTGTTATCTACTTAATACTTTGTTAATAGAACAAATACGAAGACTTCTATGTCTATTTACAATTAATTATACTAATAAGTTCCCAATAAAAATGCACGAGAAACAAAAACTGCGCATAAAAGTTGTAGATCTTTTTGAACGAGTATTTGCTTATTCTTGTCACTTACATGAAATCCTGACAACCAATTATTAGAGCACGAAAATCCTCTTGATTAAGTAATATTGGTGTTCAATTTTGAAATTGCCAAGACAATAATTCATATTAATGTTTGAATGGCTCGTTAGCATGCCAATTTTGAACTTAGTCGTTTCAGCGAACCCTGAAAGCCCCCAAAACCTCTTGACCCTCCTTTTTTCTTTTTTTTTTTTTAAGTTATCTAATGACTATTTCGAAATTTTTCTTCGTTTGTATTCTATGGAAGTCAAATTCAACATATAAAATTTCAAGCCATTTTGTTCTAAGTTGAAATAAGCGGTCTATTTTAAAAAAATCAAGTAAATAACTAACTTAGAATTACTGTATACAGAAATGGAAAAAAAAGAGTATAACAGAAAATATTACAAGAGTTGAATATATTTAGCATATTTGCCCCTGAAGAAGAAAGGTCCACCTTTCGAAAGCGCTCTGGTTATAGGATTTTTATTCATTTATAGCATACTTAATTTATAAATACTTGTACATGATTGTATTGATAATAATATTTGAATTTAGAAAATTTGTTTTGAAGTCAAGTCTCCATTTCTGAGAAACATTCTATAATTAAGTCAGTTTGTCAGTCTCAAAAGTCACCAGGTGTGCCAGCGGTAAGAGACTACTGTGTGACCTTGCACTGAAACAAACAAAAAGCTAGAAAACATTTTAGTTCAAATTACTTATGGATTAACTTACTATCAAATATAATGCTAACATGGGTCTGTACTATGTACCATTTTCATTTACGGGCATCTTATTTGTACATGTTAGACTGGAAGTTTATTTTCTTAACAGTCAGCTGCCTGGTCACAGCTAAAAAATAACGGGCCTTACATGACTCGTAATCTACAAGTTGCGGGTTCAAATTTCTGTTACCGAACATGTTCGCCCTTTCAGCCATGGGGCTTATTATGTGACGACCAATCCCACTATTTGTTGATAAAAAAATTACCCAAGATTTGGCGGTGGGTGATGCTGATTAGCTCCTTTCTCTCTAGTCTATCACTGCTAAATTAAGGACGAATAGCGCAGATATTCCTCAAGTAGTTTTGGGCGAAATTAGAAAACAAGCAAACTAAATAACGAAAAAATAACAACAATGACAGCTTAAGAGTTAATTGGAAATATGTTTTATTTGGATCTCACGTTACTTTAAAAACTAAAATCAATTGCAAATGATTTGCAGTTTCTAAGCCTAAATACAAAGTAGATACCACATACAAAAGCAAATATCCACTGATATAGTAGGACGTGAAGAAAATTGTGAAAAAAAAAATCCAGTATAAGTACACAAATGTCCTATTTTCTTCTAATTAGATGTTACCATTATGAAGTCTGGAAGGATCTATTGTGGCTAAACTGAACCTAAGCTTAAGCTCTTATGGATAAACACAATTCAATCAGGGCCTGTTTCATCGTAACCTATAGCCTAACATTAAAGCTAGACCTGAAGAAAAGCGTCATTTAATATATATTTCCATTTTTATATCGTTCAGTTTATAACTTAAATTTCTTTAATATACGTGTGAACATATACATACGCACAAAAATGTATATAGCAGCTGAGCTAACACAAATAAGCACTGACCCCAACAGGGCCGATTTAATTATTTATTTATTTATTGCTATTCTAATCGGCTCATTGGCCTCCTAGTTGGTCAGGGCTGACTTTAAACGCAAATTTCAGATCCGAATTAGCACATAGTAGACTCAGTGGAAATGTAGCTACTAATAAACAACTGCTGGACAAAAGCATCAAACTTCAAACAACTACTGGATGAGTAAATTGCTTGGAAAATGGCAATGATAGTATATTCAATTGCAGAGTGAAGAGCGTTATCATGGTCAATGAGCAGCATCTACAATGAAGCATGCTGGGAGGTGGGGGAACAATACAAGTGCGAGCTGCATCTCAGCCAAGGGTCATGAAGATGTATGCAAAATCAATAACAGTTTTACCGCTTACACATAGAAGCATATTCTTAGCAATCATCTAATTCTCTCAGGAACACGGTTTGTTAGCAAGACAGTGATCTCAAGCGTCTAGGAAATGTGGTGAAACGATACTTTGGAAGAGAAAGAAGCCATGGAATATTCAAAGCTATGGCTTGGCCTACACAGTTACGATATCATTATTATTATTAAGGCTGTATGGGCTTATATGGAAACTGAGGTCAAATTGTAACCAAATAGTTTGGCTATATTCTGTGGAGTAATAAAGGACATTTCGAACAAAAATTCATAATCATACATTTGCAAACTTATGTTAGTGAATACAAAATGCTAATGCACTGCACAACTTACTTGCTTTTATTTTGTATTTTCTTAAGTCAAGAAATAAAAACTTTACTCAGAAGATAAAGGTGCTATACGATCTTTGAAAACTGTAATAATAAGATGAGAACTGAAGGGGTCAAAAGTAAATAATGCACGAACTACTTTTTCAAACTATTTCAATTTTCGAATGACTATCTACTTCTTTTTATTATTCAAACATCAGGAAACTTACGACCAGTTCTCTAATTTAAGTTAGCAGAATGTGTCCTTTTTTGTGCTCACAACCTACGATGGCATAGATCGATTCTATGTTCTGTATGCAAGTAGAATTGATGAAACATCAACGCCATTGAACACGGACTAAAAAAAAAGATTATCAAATATAATTAGCTCAAGTCTTTTATCAATTATAAAAACATGACGAATATGTAATATTTCTAAATTATAAACATTATAAAAATATTATAGCGCTTATTACTAATTTCCCCACGTAACTGATGAAGCTACGACTAAACTAATGCAATCTGCTATCCATGATTATAAATTTACTCTAAAATTATTGTTTGCTTCTTCATTTACATATTCATCTTGGAATTAGGAACTTTTAATAGTCTGAAAAAATGTTTTCAAAATAATTTACTGCAAGTTTGTAAGCTTCAAGTGCGATGTTCAAGCTATTTTAGATGCCAAACCAATAAATTATTAAACATCATGATAACATATCATTTCAGTTAGTACATTAAGTATGTTTTTAATTTTAGCAGAGTAAGTTTCGTGTGCATGGACAAGTTGAGTAAGTCACCCTAATTTGTAAGTTTACATAAAACATAAATTACAGTTGCATGTGGTCTATAAATCATATAGAGTACTTACTGTAAATGTGATATGTTCACTACCTTCTTATCAGAACTGTCAGTGAGTCAGTGCTTATTTATGAAAACCTTAAATTAGGTCAAAACTGACGAAATCCTACAAGGAATAATGTATGTGTACCAGGCGAATGTTTTGTTTGGTTGTTGAATTTCGCGCAAAGCTATTCAAGGGCTAGTTGTCCCTAATTTTGAAGTTATGGACTACAGGAAAAGCAGTCGACACCAACCACCCCTAATTCTAGGGATACTCTTTATCAACGAAGAATTGGACTGGTCGTCACATTATAACATCCCTACGACTGAAAGAGCAAGTATTCCTGGTGACGGGATTTAATCCGGAGACCCGCTGATTGCGAGTCGAGTGCCCTAATCACCAGGCTATGTTAGGTCCAGACAAATGGAAACGGCATTTAATAATAGCCCTCTCTATCATTCTATTATTCTTTCGTCTTTTCATTTTAATATGTTCTTGCTCCCCAGTGTCTCAGCTGTAAGTCTATAGGCTTACGACGCTGAAATTCGGGTTTTGATATCGTGATGGGCAGAGCACAAACCGTCCAGTGTTTAACTTTGTGCATAACAACAACTATACGGAACTAATATGTTCTTTATCTTACATAAGTATAGGTATATAAAAGTCTACAAATGGGGATACAAAATTAACAAATGAAAAATATAATATGATAGATGAGGAGTAAACTTTTTAATGAAACTAGTATTACAATTACTATAGTAGCAAATAAATCCTACGAATTAGTCCTAACATCGTACAATGAAACACTGATTTTACACGGTTATGAAATCCTTGCTTTATTAAAATCGTACATAGCTGTACGGAAAAGTGTTGTAATCGGTTTAGATAGACACCGATACATTCTAATGATTCTTTGTGTAATAGTAGTAGAATATTATTGTGGTTGTTAGTAATAAACTTGTTTGCTGATAAACGCAAAACTACATATTCTGGATATGCCCAGTGCGGTATCGAAACCGGATAGTTAGCATTATAAGCCCTCAGACTTATCGCTGGGCCACCATGATAATCAACAATTCACTCTTGGATTTTATATTTGGATCATTAAGTCTATGATCTAATTACCTTTGTTATAACAGAAGGGATAAGGAAGTGTTTAGAAAAATAGCAAAATATAACAGCATAACGATTCTTAAGTACAGCAATAAGTTTGCGTAATGAATATATATGTACATATTTATTTATATAACCATGTATGGTTGAGATTTCAAATATTCTATTCTTTTGTATTCTTGAATCCACACTTTTTTATTATTGTAAACTTGGAACAGGTTTTAACAC